TCTCTCTCTCTCTCTCTCTCTCTCTCTCTCTCTCTCTCTCTCTCTCTCACACACACACACACACACACACACACACACACACACACACACACATCCCCCCGTCATCGGTGTGTCGCGCAGTTGGCGTGCCAAATAATAGCTGCCTCCCCACATCCAGGCCTCACTCTACTACCCAGCAAAGGGCCAACGTTGAAATGTATTTTGTCCCAATGTCATGGTGTCGGTGAAATTGTAACGGTGCAAGGGACTGGCACAAGTGGGTGCAGGTGGATGCCGGGGCGTGCAGGCAGGACAAGTTTAGGTTCCCGGTGCGGGCGGGTAATCGTGCTCGTACAGGTGCAGGAGGGTCGGGGTGACGACTTTTTCAGGGGCGAGCGGGTCGGGCGTGTAGTCAAAATTTTGGGAACTATTTTGGGTAGTTGGGGTTATCTTGAATCCTTACAGTCTGAGCTGAGGACTCAAAAATCTTAGCCTTCAGGACTCTCAACAGTGTTTTGAACTTTTGTTCCATTTGTCGACATAAGACTGCTTGCACGGTTTGTTTGCAATTTGGTGCGCAGCGTGTAATCATATCATTTATACATGATTCTCCAATCATTTGCGTACTTGAACGCAAACTAGTACTACGTAATTCATGTTGTTTCAGGAACTCTGACAGCAGAGCCTCTTGAGAACTCATGAGTTGTTGTAATCCCGAAACAACAGATTCGCTTCTTGCTTCAAAAGTAGCCTTGAAAGTTTCGCCAAAAGTTTTTTGACTAAATAAAACAAAACCCACAAAACTAAAAGCTACTAGATTCTTCATTTCATTATAAAGTAAAATTTGTTTTGAACTTAGCACACTGAGGGGCTCGTTCGACACTCCTTGGGGCGTCCTCGGGGTCCAAGGAAGTTTCCTTGGGGGTTTTCAAGGAAATTCCCGCCATCGTTCCACCTGTCCTCGGGAACGTCGCCCGAGGACATTTCYTTGGARCGATGTCAGACAAGAAAAAGAAAAGAAAAAAAAAATCAAATGTATTTGAGGCCTTCAGCCAATAGGGTGCCGCCACGATCCAGATTCTCGGTTGTAACGTCTCTCTACCCATGTGCCCGCTCCTCTCCGTGAAACGCGGATTCCTTTGGCCCAAGGGACCTCGTGAGGTCCCTTGGGCAAAAGGAAGAAATGGCTGGGGAATCCTCGGAGCCCAAGGAATTTTTCCTTCGGAGTGTTCGGAGTGTTTTCACTTTTTTTTTTCCTCGGGGAATTTACGCGCCCGAGGAGTGTCGAACGAGCCCCTGAATAGTAAAATGCCAAATAGAACGAGTTCACGCATTCTGATTTTTCCTTTTCTTTGATGACTCTCCAAGTTTTGAATTTCATGCCGGTTGCTGCCTCACAAATGCCTGCCTATTTAAAAAAAAAAAAAAACAGCGTCTATTCCTGTGACAGCCCTGGCCTTCGTGAATAATGGTGCCATGCAACAGCTACTCTACCCAAACGACAAAAGAAAAAACAGCGTACTGCCTGGTTTTCCGAAAAGGACCACTGGACATCTGCAGGCTGCAGCCACCTGACCGTCTGACAGTCCTTCAATGTAAGGCACCTCTGGGAGGTACCTTAGCGCAGAGTGCGGCGACGAGTTTCATAAGATGCTTTGATCCACCACTACCTTTCCCATACATCGTCCGTGGGCGGCGCCAGGGCGAGGCCCCATGAGTTTCGGAGGCGGGTAACCGTTAACGCAACGAAGGCTACCGATGAAATTTATCAACGGCTGCCCAACAGTGGCCTCGTCCCCGAAGAATGGGGTATAGGTTACATTCCCACTTTTCCAACACTGTGAAAGGTCGCCGCGTATTTGTTTTTCAAGCCGGGAAAGTGTACTGGTGGTTTAGAGCACCAGTACTTCCGAGACACTTTTCTGCAAGTCTGGAAACGTGCTGCGTCCCCAAAAAAACGAACCGGTGGGGGCCTCCTTTTGGCTGGGCCCGCGAGCCATTTTGATCCGGTGCCCGACCCCGAAAGCTGCAGCAGTATGCAAGCCGGAACTTCGAAAGCATGGCTGGAAAAGGTACAGTGGTGGTTTAACCAAAACAGACGAACCGACATGGGCCTCCTTTTGGCTGGGGCCGCRAGCCATTTTGATCCGGTGGCCGACCCCGAAAGCTGCAGCAGTATGTAAGCCGCAACTTTGAAAACATAGCTGGGAAATGTACTGGTGAAAACATGCCCTCCCATGCAACAATACATGCACAGCAAAACACATGGAAGAAGCCTCAAATTGATAGTCTCACTCAAAAAACAGAATTACATCTCAGAGACGCTGACATTGATATGTTCTCCTCTAGCGGATACTGGAGCTACACCCCCAGATGGAAATGCCGAAGTCAAATGCCTTGCAGCAGGCAGAGCCATAGAGAATAGTACACACACCTGGATGAAAGTCAAAGTCAACTGACCACCAGGTTGCTGAATAGAGCACCAGTTCCTGAACTGTTGTTGAGCCACAGATTGAGTCAGGGGTGAAGGAACTCCAGCAGTTAAATTGCCCTGCAGAACCCCGCCACCCACACAATAATCACCCAGCAGATAAGTATGCAAAGCGTTTTGCCAGAGACAGGGGCAACATAGGAGGGGGGCGGGAGGGACAGAAGGGGGGCATTTGGGGGAAAAGAAGGATATAAAGGCGGAGGAGAATATGGGAAAAAGAAGGGTGGTTTATTTTCTCCAATCGTCAGGTTCCTTAGCGCATACTCACACTAGTAGTCTAGTACATTATTTTCTCACAAGTTTTCAAGGTTTGATGTCGGGAAAACATGGGTTTGGTGGGATGAGCAGCCAGTCAGACACACTGTGCCCCGATTGCAAAAAAAAGGACGAAGTTGGAATTTGGGACCCAACACAGATTAGCATTTCCAAGAGGCAGGTCAATCACACACATTGTTGCAGGCATTGCCTCAAGTAAAAAGAAATACTGGGTTCGCATTGCCAAGCACCTCACCTCTGGAAGTGCCCATAAAATAAATGTACTCTCCAGTCGGCCTCCACAGCTACGACCAGCACTACACCAATACTTTTCCCAGCCGTTCATTTTCCCTCAGCTGTAAAGAGTCTAAAGACCTTTGGGGCTCGACCTACCAGACCAAAACACCCAGCGGCCCACGGCACAAAAAGAAAAAAGAAGAAAAAAAAAAAACACATCGGCCGTTATTGGCACACAGCAGACTGCGATGATTGTTGAACTGGAGGAAGACCTTAAACCACCAGTACCTCACTCAGTGTTCGGCCGCGGGCCTTCCCCGTATACGCGCCGCAGCCTCAGGCTGGTCGGCCAAGGGAAGGCCCGGTCGTAGCGCCAAGGCCGGGACCCGCTTCTGTGGGGACGACACACGATCAAAAAAGAAAGAAGAAAAAAAAAAGAAATACACAAACGAAAAACAAAAAAAATTGGGAAAACAGTTGAAGTCGTGAGAGAGAGAGAGAGAGAGAGAGAGAGAGAGAGAGAGAGAGAGAGAGAGAG